AGTGGTTAAAGGGTCCTGGGAGTGAATTTGGGGAGATGCGAGGTGCTTGGGCACAGAATAAACCTTCCTCAGTGTGGTTTAAATTAATTTTTCAGTGGTTCAAGGGTCCTGGGAGTGAATTTGAGGAGATGTGAAATGTGCTGAGAGATCAGATCTTGGGCACAGAATAAACCTTCCTCACCTTGATTTAAATTCATTTTTCAGTGGTTAAAGTGTCCTGAGAGTGAATTTGGGGAGATGCGATCCCCAGTGACAAAATGGGATTTATTGCATTGCCCAAAGCTGTTAAATCTCCGTTTGCTCTGTTTGTTGTTGAGGTGCTGCCCGAAGTTTCACCCAGCTGTGTCTTGCAGGAGGCCAGGAACAGAATTACAGAATTCCCTTCTTTGCTGTGGCAGAGAGCAGGCAGGGATGTCACATCTGCTCTTCGCAGCTTTGCAACTGGCTTTCTTGGTTTGAATCGATATTTTTAATTTTTTTTTTTTTTAATAGCTTGGCAGGGTGGAATTTTTTTTTTTTTTTATTCAGGGAGCACAGGGCATCTGGAAATCGCAGAAAAAGCAGAATGCTGCTGAGGTGGAGCACCGGGCCACCAGAACAGAGAGTTTTGCTCGTGCTTTTGGATTTTTTAGGATTGCTGTTGGCATTGCCAAACAATCAGCTCTGGTTTCAGAGCGTTCATTTCAATCCACTCTTGCCCGATTTGATTTTGTTTTTGGCTGGGTTGGCGTTTTTAAAACCAAACTGCTCCCCCCCAAAAAAAAATTCTGGCAGCAGTCGCTGTGGCAGCGCGGGCAGAAATGTCAGAACACTTCTGCTGAAGGGCACGGTGGCTTTCCGGGTATTTCCCCACTTTTCCCCTTCTTCCCTCCCGGTAATGGCAGGAAAAGCTCCCAAGGGAACGGGAGGTGAGGGCTCCATCCTGTTCTTGCCTGGTGCTCTGTGAAAATTCCCTGCAAGGGGTGAAGGTGTCATTTCAGTTCTGTTTTGGAGGAAAAAAAAAAAAAAAAAAAAAAAAAAAAATCCCAGATTGTGGGATTCCATCCGTGCCTGGGCTGGTTTCTCTCTTCTCTGCAAGCAGAGAAGTCATTTCCTCTTTACATGTGTAAAACATTGACCTATTTATTTGAGATTTACCAAAAAAAAAAAAAAAAAAAAAAAAAAAAGTTCCACTTAAAAGTTTTGAATTGAATTCAAAACTGAATTCAATTGAATTGAATACTCTTCAATTCTCCCCTTCCCCCGTGCTGTGGAACAGAAATCCTGCTGCACCCACGACAGGAATGGAATCTTGGCTTTCCTCTGTGGGTTTGGTTTTTTTTAGGGTGTGTGTGTGGGGATTTATTTATTTTATCGATTTTTATTTCATTTCAAAGGAAGCTCTTTTTTTTTTTTATTATTATTATTTTTTTTTTTTTTAATTTGGCATTGAAAACTCTTCCCACTGCATAAATTATAACCCTTGGCAAGCAGGGGATGCTGTCTGGAGCCAGAGCAGTGTGGAGTGTGCGCTGAGAGGGACCCAGGGGAGGTTTGGGTGACCCTCTGGAAAATTTGGGGTTGCTCTGAAATTTTGGAATTTTTGCTCTGAAATTCGCCCTCTGTGGGAATTTCCCGCTCTGATCCCAGGGAAGGGAAAGGGCACAACATCTGCCACCTGCCAGAGGTGCTGCAAATCGACTTTTCTTTAATTAAATCGACTTCAATTCTCGCAATTCCCAATTTCCCCCCCCCTTCCCCGCTGCCATCCTGCTTTTCTCTGCTTTCCTTCCCCTTCAGATCCAAACGTGGTCAGGGGCCACAATGTCATCAATGTCATCATTCCCGAGAGCAGGATGCATTTTTTCCAGCAGCTGGGCTACATCCTGGCCACCCTGCTGCTCTTCCTCGTCCTCCTCATCATCGTGGTGCTCCTCACCCGCAGGCGCCGGCAGAGAGGTGAGCCCGGCCCAAACCTGACCTGACCTGTCCTGTCCTGGAGGGACAATCCTGGCAAAAAAAAATTCCTGCCAGGAACAGCGATCCCCTCCTGGGAAAGCAGCAGGGAGGAGCTGCAGGGGCCGGCGTGGTGTAAAAAAAAAAAATAAATATCCCGGCATCGATTTGGTGGAATTGTTGGGAAAAGTCTGCAGGGTCATCGCGTGCCCGAATCCCAGTCAGGATTTGAGGAATTCTTGTGTAAAAGGGAGGAGAAAAGTGGGATTTGTCCCGTGGGAACTCGGGGTGTGAAGGTCCTGGCTGTGCTGGGGACTCTGGGATTCCATAAAGGCATCACAGCACACGGAAAATGGGCAGCAGGAAAGGACCTGGACTGGCTGTGACGGCTCCTCCTGCTTTTCCCTCCTCTTTAGGTTATGAGTACAACGTGAAGAAATATGGAGAGTAAGTATAATATATGTAATATAAAATATAATATTATATATAATATATAATATGCTATTAATTAGGTTTAGAATGCATTCAAATGAACTCTTAGCCCCTCTCCTCAGCTAAGAGCCTAAACCAGCTGAAAATGTGGTTAGGAGGAGGAAGAGGAAGGAGAATTTGTTCTGTGGGGCTGCTTTGGCAATTGAATTTCCTCTTGTTGCTCTCTGGGAACTGATGGAGGGATGAAGTTTCTGTGAGATGCCCTTGGGAGTTTTTGGGAAAGGAATAATGCACGGATCTGTTTTGAGATGGGGCCAAAATCGTGGATAAATAAAATATATTTATATTTTGTATGATTAAAGTGGGAAAGATAAGGAAATTCCGGGATTGGCTGCCCATTGTTCTAAGAGCTGGGAAAAAAAAAAATGTGGGGGGGAAAAAAAATTAAATAAATTCTCTAAAGTAACATTAGAAAAGCTATTGGGGAAAAGTGTGAAAGGAGCCAGTTATTAAAGGATGGCACAATGCCATTTTCCACCGTGATTCCCTTTTCAGGAAGGATGTGAATCTTAAAGAATTTCCAGTGGACACGACAGATCTGACCCCACACAAGAGTGAAGACATCAGGCTGGGTACGTGTCCCTGGCCACCAAACCAGGTCCAAATCCTTACATCTGAAATTTCTAATGGCATTTAGATGTTTTGAAGTGACTTAACTCATTCTTTAACCTCTGGAAGTGGGTATGGATTTTTATTTGACCAAAACTGGGTGAAGAGAATTCCTGAGTTAGTTGAGTTCATTGTCTCCACTTTCCTTTGAAGCCAGTTTGGTTTAATTTTCTGATTTTCTCCTGCCTGGATGTCAAATCACTCCGTGAACATTTTGGGCCTTCTGTCAAGATCTGTGGTGGAAATTAAGGCAGATAAACAGAGAATGGGAGGAAGAAAATTTGCTACAGAGGCCCTGAGATAGAAAAGAGAAAATACAAATTTCCCTGGAGCTCGTGGTGAAGTGAAAGACGCTGGGGAGAGGGGAAGGGAGCTCATCTCACACTGTGAAATTGGGGGTTTTTTGGGGATTTATGGAATTGATTTGGGGAATTTCCAACATTCCTGGAGGTAGATGCTGCTCCTTCCTGGGGTTGGAAGGTGCAGCCTTGAGTTTATTGTGTCAATAATTGAGAATTGGTTCTTGCTGGGACTTGGAGGGAATTAATTTCACAAAATTGATGCTCTTGTCTGCACCACCCTGAGATTCCTGAAGCTTTGTCATGATGCCAAATTCACACCAGCTGCAACTTGCTTGATAAGCCAGGAAATAAAAATCGTCCCTTTGGTTTTTTTTTTTATTTATTTGCATCCCCAGTAAAAGCACAACCTTTAAAAGAACGAGCTGACAAATCTTAGCTCCCAAAAATTGCCGTGAATGCCCCAGTAAACAAGAGAGAGACAAAACTGGAAGTGAAGAAAGGAATTGCAGAGGGTGGGTTGCAAAAATCCTTCTCTGTGCGTCCCAGGAGAGCAAAAATCTCTGGATAATTGTTCTCCAGGTGAGCTCTGAGGAGATAATTCAGGGCTGTGGTGCCTGTGAGGAGCAGGGAGCTGAAGTTTGCACAACTCCTTAATGCCAGGGGCTAAAATGAAGTCAGAGCTGTTTTCCTGCTGAGTAACTCCACAAAAATTTCCTAGAAATCAGAGGTGCCAGACCTAGAGCACATCGGGGAAGGGCTGATCGCCTCTGTCTCGTTCATAATTTTTTTTTTTTTTTTTTAATATCCTAATGCCTGTGTGAATTCTGCTCCTCCCTCGCACAGATTACAAAAACAACATCCTGAAGGAGAAGGCTGAGCAAGCCAGAAGCTTCCCAGCGAAGAACATTGATTTAGACAAAGGTAATTAGCACTTTCTTCCCCTTAATTGGTGGCTGCAGGAGGGAGGGACGGTCCCTCAGTGAGTGACCAAGGCACAGCCGGAGAGGAATGAGAAACCTCACGGCAAAAAGCAGGAATGAGAAGGGAGCTCCCTTCCCATCCTTTCATCGTGGAGCCACAAAATGCAAAGCTGCGATGAGGTTTTTAAAAGATTTGGGAATGGCAAAAATTGGGATTTTTTTTTTTTCCCCTTGATTGGAGAAAGCAAAGCTGGCAGGGCTGGGACAGTGCCTGCTCTACTGTGACCTCAGAAGGAGAAAGACAGAGCCCAAAAATGTCCTGGCGTGGTGTTTGGGCAGAGAACAGGGAGCAGAAAGAGAGTGTTTGGGATTGAATTAATTTATGGGTAATGGGCAGTTACTTCATCCAAGAAAAGCAAACAACTCTCCCTCCCCGGGGCTGCATCCAGGATTAATGCCCAGGGCTGTGCCTGTGTTTGGAGGACAGCACCTCTGTCAAGCAGGGCTCTGAGATTCCAGGGGAATTCGGATTTCATAAATGGGGCTGAAATGACACCAAGCTGTCCCTGATGGAATTCTCCTGGCGTTTTTCTCCTGCATCCTGCACGGTGGAGCTGGGCAATAATTTACCCCCAGTCTGTCTCAGCTGAGGGGGCTTTTTGATGTCAGGGTTGTGAGTGACTGCAGATGGCTGCTCTAGAAATAAATCCATATTTTTGTGCTGCTTTGAATGGTTTTGAATCTCTCTCTTAAGTGCTGACCCCGGTTTCCATTTGCTTTCAGATTTCAGGAAGGAATATTGTAAATGAAGACACTCCCAAAGCTGCTGGCTGGACCAGAAGCTTCCATCAGAGATAAATAATGTGGAAGAGAGATGTCTTTTCTTAATTCCATCTCCCTCCAGTCCCCACAGGATTTTTTTCCCCCACACAAGGGTGCAAATGCTTCATGAAAGAGTTAAACTGTCTTGTGTGCATTTATGGGGTTGGGTTGCCTTTTCTTCCTCTGTTCTCCCAACCCTCCCTTCCCCTTTTCTTTCTCGACAATTATTGTTGGATTTTATGCATCAATGATTTTTATGAGCTGAATCAGCAGAGGTTTTGCTTTGATGTTATTGCTTTAAATAAAACCACCTGCATCACTAATCCTGAGCCATCATTACACCAGGCGTTTTTTCCATGTGGTGAATCCATCAGGAGAACAATGGCAAAGGCTGATCCCTGTCCTAGGCTGGCAGAAATCATTTCCCACTGAATTTTGCACGTCCCAGGTGAAGCACAAAGAGCTCAGCCCTCCCGAGTGGCAGTGCAAAAACCTCGTTTGATCAAGGGGGAGAAATGTCAGAAAATAAATGTCAGAAAATAAATGCCAGAAAATAAATTCGGAAAATAAATTCGGAAAATAAATTCCTGGTTCTGCAGGCAAAGGGAAGCAGCCCAATGGGTGAACTCTGCATTTCTCAGCCCGTGTTTGTTGATTTGTTTGTGTTCCAGCACAGAGCAGGGCAGGTTTGGCAGGAGCAGCCTGGATGCAGTGCCAGTCTCAGGTAGGTCAGGACCAGGAATGCTCTGGAACTCTGAGTCCTGGGATGGGATTTTCCTGGGATGGGATTGTCCTGGGATGGGATTTTCCTGGGATGGGATTTTCCTGGGATGGGATTTTCCTGGGATGGGATTTTCCTGGGATGGCTCCAGGCCACACAGAGCACAGCAAACCAAAGGTAGGAGATGGTGAAAGGGAGCAATTCCACGAGGAGCAGGAGTAAAAACAGGAATTTTCATGGACCAGGGGATTAGAAAAGCGACTCCAGGAGGAGGATGAGTCCATTCCCAAGGGTTTGCAGTGGATTCCTGAGGCTGTGGGCTCACTCAGGGGAGGTTCTACCTATGGACAGTGCCAGAAAATTGGGAAAGGATTCAGTGTTGTCACCCAAGCAAGTGAAAACTCCAGGAAAGCTGCAGGATAGGATCAGCTCTTGGGTCTGGAAGGAAAATTGCTGCTGTTGTGAGGGTGAGGGTGGCCAGGGATTGTCACCCCTCTGTTTGGTGGCCTGCAGGGCTGGCAGAGAGGGGGATTTGTGTGCTTGGATCTGGGGCAGCACCTCCAGGACCAAGCCCTGCCCTTTTCTTGCCAATTTGGGTTTTTTGTCCCACTGATGCCAACGTTCCCAGGCATCCAAATCCCGTTCCTGACCCCCCCTGTCCCTCCTCCCAGGGGCACCAGGGATCTCTGCTGGACTCAGAGGGTGGCATGGGGTCCTCAAAAACCAAAATCGTGGTGGGTGAGGCCTCCAGAGGGGCTGTGCTGGCCCTTCACAAGGTGGGGTGTCACAACAATCAACTTTTCATCACAAACAGACCGTGGACATTTTAACAGATATTAACATTTCTGTTACTGGGGGCTGTTTTAAAGAATAATTTTATTGGGGGGCATTAATTTCAATGCCTTCAAGCAGTAAAAATATTAATAATAAAACAGAACTAGAGGTAGAGGTGAGCTTTCCTAAGCTGCAGCTGAGCAGATCATTTTTTAATTTTTTAGCCCTTCCACTGCTCTCCAGAGGTTTTTTTTTGTGATCTGTAATTCATTACCTTTATCCTCACTGAAGATCCACCCCAAAAAGTGCCCAGGATTAGTGAGAGGAAGGTCTGGGGTTGATCCCAAGCCCCTTTTTGCCCTTCCCCGAAGCACAGAGGGATTTTTTTTTTTACCTTGCCCTGAAGCCCAGGCTGCATTCCTGCAGGTTCAGGAGGTTGTGCTGGTTATTCCATCAGGGTGGCAGAGTCTCAAATAATTGTCACGAACGTTTCTCTGCCTCCCTTTCATGTCTGTGAGTCAAAGGTTGGAGATTTTTCCTTGCCAGCTCCGATTGCTCAGCACAGCTCCCACAGACACCAGCTCAGAGTGGGGTCACTCAGAAACTCCAGAGGCATTTCAATATTTTCTCTGACTGCTGGGCTGCAGAATCGCTTCAGGGGAGGAGGAAAAAAATTAAAATATTGTCTGAAAGATGGGCTGGGAAAGGCTCAGTGAGTTCCTCATCCTTGCTTTGATCACTGCTTGGGATTTGGGTAATGGTCAGACAGGGCAGGTAAACCTCCCTGGTGGGGATGGGGTGGGATAAATGGGATAATGGGATAAATGGGATAGGATGGGATCATGGGATGGGATAAATGGAATGGGATGGGATCCATGGGATAATGGGATGGGATGGGATGGGATCCATGGGATAATGGGATGGGATGGGATAGGATAAATGGGATGGGATAAATGGGATAGGATAAATAGGATGGGATAATGGGATAAATAGGATGGGATAATGGGATAAATAGGATGGGATGGGGTCCATGGGATGGGATAAATGGGATGGGGTGGGACCCATGGGATAAATGGGATGGGATAAAGGGATAGGATAGGATAGGATAGGATAGGATAGGATAGGATAGGATAGGATAATGGGGTGGGATCCATGGGATGGGATAGGATAGGATAGGATAAGATAAGATTATGGGATGGGATAATGGGATGAGATTCTGGCCCTCTTTCCTTCAGGACAGGAATGTTGTGTGATTGGCCTGGAGATCACCACTGTGGCTTTCACCAGCAGCCACTCTGTCATTTAACAAATTAAAATTCTGGCTGAGAGAGAGAGAGAGAGGCAAGTGCTGGGTAACCAAGAGAAAAAAACAAAACCAAAAAAACAACGGAAGGGGTTTTTAAAATCATTTCTTAACGCAGAGGAATTGGTGAAGGGAGTTTGCCCTAAAATCCCGGTGGCCACTGAGAGCCTCCCCATTGCCCTTTGCACTCCCTGGCTGGGGCACTGCATGGACATGGAAATGAGAGGAATTTCCACACGGAATTGCCCCTGGGCTGGGGCAGCAGCACTGCTCCCTCCTCCCAGATAATTTGCTTTTCTCTGTCCTTTTCTCTCATCTCAGCCTTTCTCTCCCTGATCTGGGACTTGCCTCTTGTGGACAAACACTTTTTTTTTCACGGGTGTAGCACTTGGCCTGAGTTATTCAAAATAATTTTCTCTCTGTACCAATGAATTGTTGCACTTTGATAAAGTTCTTCACCTTCTTTTGCAGGCTTTGCCTCAGCCCAGTCTCCCTGAGACAGAGATTTTATATTCAATTAGTTAAAAAAAAAATAAAAATCATAACCCCCAGTATTTTTACAGCTGTTTCCCCTCAGTTAGAACTTTACTTCAATGAGTGCAGGGAAATCGAAGTTTTTTAAGGTAATAAATGGGCTGTGAGTTCTCGATGTGGGACAAGGAAAGGGGGTTTGGCAGTGACCTTAAAGGGGTTAAAACTGAGACTAGAGCCAGGATTAGAACCCCCTGTTTCCAGCTCTGTGCTCACTCTCCAGACTAAGAACATCCTCCACAAATCTTGTTTTTCTCTTTGCTCTGACAGAATTAATTCTCATTATTATTGCTGCTTAACTTTTACCATTGCTCCGTTAACTCTCCAAACATTTAAAAAAAAATAAAGGAGAATAAAATGGACTTTCCAGCTCAGGTCGATTTTATTTCTTGCCCATTTGGAGGTGTTCTCTCAGCCAGCATTAGCTAATTCTTCCCAATAACTCTGCTTCATCTCAGGGTGTTTCATCTCACAGCATCTCAAAGTGCTTGACAAATTGCAGATTGGATCCAGTAAATTATTCCAGATTTCCACGTGGAACATCGTTATTTGACAGGGTCATGGGGCCCACGGAGGAATTCCAACTCTCCAGAAATGCTGTAAAGGAACAGAAAATCAGCAGAAATGGAGCTCAAAGCATCCAGCAGAGAGAGAGAGAGAGGAAGGCTGGCAGCAATTCCAGAGGATTTTATTTTGCAGCTCCAGAAGGGAAGAGAACATTTCCTGCTGGAATCTGCATCTCCCTGCCAGCCCAAATTCCTCTTTTTCCTTGCAGGATTGACACCTTGCAAAAGTTCCTGCTGCTCATTGTGCTCCTGGAGCCCTTCCCCAGCTGGGACAGCAGAGCTCTCCCAGGGACAGGATGGAATCAGCTCCTGGACACTGCAGGGACAAGGATTTGAAGGATCAAGGCAGGAAATTGAACTAAAAAGTGGCCAAAAAAAAAAAAAGTGCATTTAGCAAGTTAGGATTACTGACCAGCTGGTGAAAATGTCATCTTCATCTTCCCTGGTGGAAATCCCACTGCCATTCCCCAGCACCCCTTCTCTGGGTGACAAAATAATAATAATATTAATATTATTATTAATAATAATAATAATAATAACCCAAATAATCCTTGCTGGAGCTGCTGTGGGGCTTTACTGATCTCTGCTGGCAGACTCCAGTCCAACCCCTGTTGGTTTTTTTATTTCTGAGGCATTTTTACTTTTCTCTCTTAATGGATCTGATTTTCCAGGGGAGCAGCTGGGAACAAGGAAAAGTCCTTTAGGACACCAGTAAAAAAATGAAATATGTTTCTTGTCTCCCACTTGTCTGAAGTCCAGTTTGTCCCAGTTTCTTTTCTGCCTCCCAGTCTGGGGAGAGTTTTACAGGAGAGAGGGACTTGTAAGTCATCAACAGAACAAATTTCTGAGAGAGAGAAGGAGGATAAAGACCCAAATAAACATTTCTAAGCAAAAAAATTTCCAATTTCCTAGAGGTCTGTGTGTGTCTGCTCTGCAGACAATTCCTACAGGGAATTTTTTCAAGTGTGACTTTCCTTTTTTTTTTTTTTTAAAGAAAGGTCTGCAGCTGCTAAGGAGGGGTAGGAAAAGCAGAAAAAAAAAGAGGTGGAGTCATGATGAGGAGAAGCTGGGATCAATCCAAAGAATTTATCATTTATAGGGTCTGCATCCCACGGGGGTGTTTGAAAACCCACAGAGGGCAATATCTCTCCTTAATCCATATTTCTAAATTAAGAGGGGTTTGGAGAATGCAAAAACCTCGTTTTATTTCTCCTTTTCCTCAGGTTAATTGGAGTTTAAATCCAGGGGCAGCCCCGGGGAGCTCTGCAGAGCTGACTGCAAAGTCTTTGCTTCCCTCTAGTGTTTCATGTCTCCATTTCCGTGTCAGTGACTGCTCAAAGGTCCAGGGCGCGCAGAGGGAGAATAAAAAGGGAAAAAAAAAAAACAAAACAAAACCTTTCGGATGTTCCAGACCAGATCCAGGAGAAGTTGAAACTGCGAAATGCTGTTCTGTTACAGATAAATCCTTGCAGGGGGATGAAAACCACCCAGGAAATCTCCAGGTGGGTGCTCAGAGCTTCGGTTTCCCCTTTGTCCCATCTCTCACTGTGTGAAATATTGTTGCAAATTTTTTTTTTTTTTTTTTGCCCGAGAATGGAGGGTTCAGTTGTTTTCCTGTAAATATTAAGGTCATGTGTTCTACCTGATGTTCAAGATTCGTTTTAAATGTTCTCCACTAAAAAAAATTTACAAGTCCCTAAAACAAAAATGTCTTGGGGCATTAGTTTAGGGTCAGAAGCCTTTTACAAACTCTGCTGAGCCCTCAGAGTGTGACGAGCTCTCAGAATTCCCTGAGATGAGCAACAAGAATTGCTGTAATTCAAAGTCTGGCTTTTTTTTTTTTTTTTAAAAAAGGGTTTGCTTATTCCCTGTGTGGTAAGTGCTGTGAAAATGAAGAAAAGGGTGAGCAGCTTTTATACCTCGGGACACTCTCAGCTCCCTGCAGGGCCCAGCAAGATTATTCCCTCTATCACAGACAGCACAGCACTATTAGCAAGAGATTTGGTGCCTCGTATTTATTTTTTTTTTTGCTGAAGTGGTAAGGTCTGAGCTCTGTGAGACACGAGGAATTAGCCCTGATGGGCCAGGGGTGTATCCTGAATTCCTGTGTCCTCTCTTTAATTGGATTAGCTGCTGGTTTGGCTGCAGCATGAAAGTGATCTCCTCTCTTCTGTGCTTTTTGTGAGTCACAGAGCCGGCCTGATCATCTGACAATTCTACACCTCCTCCTATTTCCAGCTGTCAAAATTGAAAATGAAGCAAGAACAGAGCTCCCAGCAGGTTCAGGCTCTGGGTGGGCACCCGAGGAACCCAGGAGGTGTTTAAGGATGAACTGAGGGTTGGGTGTGAAATGTTCTGCCTGAGTTTCATGCTGCAAAAACTCCACAGAGCTCAGGATCTCAGAAACCACTGCTCATGCCAGAGTTCTGATCCCACCACAGGGAATTTTCCCATTCCTCTGTGGTGGGACTGAGGGATTCATGGTGCACTTCCCATGCACTGCTGAAAGCTGAACTCATATTTTTATAGGAATCTCCTTTATTCTCAGAATTCCAAAACGAAGAGCGAGAAATGCTTGAAAAGAACTGTACCTAAATATAAATAACTCTTGAAAATGACTCTTTGAAGTGCCTCAAATTGGTGATTCCTGATTCAAACCAGCACCAACTCGGTGGTTCCATGATGAGGAGCAAGGCCATGCCCTGACCTTGCTGTTTGTCCTGTTTGAGGATGACACATTTAGCAGGGATGAGTGGGGGGAACGTCAGCTGGATGGGATTTTGGAATTACTTCACCAGCAGATAACTGATGATGCTTTGGTTTCTCACTATTGTTAAACCTTGTTAAATTCTGGATTATCCAGCCCCAGCTCTGTGCAGAATTTGGGAGTGGTATCAGTTCAGGTGGTGTTGGTAGCAATGATTAAACTTTCAGAAAATTGAAAATAACATTGCCCAGACCTTTTGGGAGCCTCTGGCACAGCTGGGCCTCTCTGTTTGGTGCTGGTAGAAAAATTCCTTGCAGTGTCACAGGTAATTCAGTCACTGAGCTGGGATTTTTTCCTTTAGAGAGTGCAGATGAGCATCCTGAGAGGTGACTGTGCCCTTGCCTTGCAAGGGTGAAACACAACATCATTAGCTTGGGGTTTAACTGAAAAGGGGTTTTTTTAATAAGCAGGAGATTCTTTGAGACCTAAGGACGCTGCTCTGCAATCTTTATTTTCTGGTTGTCATTTTCAGGGAATTTCTAGAAATAAAGGTGAATTCTTTCCAAATACATCACCTGCATGATGTATACAAAACTCTAAAGAGCTTTTTTCTGATTCTGTGGTCCCCACCTGTTTCCTATCTCTATTCCCACTCCCATCACCTTTCCCTTCTCCCACCCCTTTCCTGTCCTTTTTCCCATTCCCATCCCCTTCCTTTTCCTCATCCCCAGTTCCATCCCATTCCAATGCCCAATCCCATCCCATCCCCTTTCCCCATCCCCTTTCCTCATGCCATGCTCTTCCCTTTCTTCATCCCCATTCTTATTCTCATCCCCTAATCATATTCCTCTTCCAACCCCTTTCCTTTCCCCATCCCCCTTCTCCTTCCCTTATCCCCTTTCCCATCCCATCCTCCTCCCTTTCGTTATCTCCATCCCCTTTCCCATCCCATCTTCTTCCCTTTCCTTATTCCCATCCCTTTTCCATCCCATCCTCTCCCCTTTCCCAATCCCCCTTTCCTTTCCCATCCCATTCCCTCCCACCATCCCATCCCCTTTCCCATCCATCCCCGTTCTTATTCCCATCCCCTTTCCTCATCCCTATTCTTACCTCCATCCCATCCTCTCCCCTTTCCTCATCCCCTCTCCCATCCCATCCTCATCCCCTTTCCCATCCCCACTCTTATTCCCGTCCCATCCCCTCTCTCACCCCCCGCACCTCCCGCTGCCATCCCCGCACCGTGGCCCTGGTGCTGCCGGGGTGCCAGGGGCGGTGTTGGGGCTTTGTGCGGGCGCTGTGCGGGTTTTGTGCGGGCGGTGTTGGGGCTCTGTGCGGGGCTCGGTGCGGGCTCTGTGCGGGCTCTGTTCGGGGCGGTGTGCAGGGAGGTGTTGGGGCGGTGTGCGGAGCGCTGTGCGGGCTCTGTGCGAACGTTGCGGGGCAGTATTCCAGCACTGTGCGGGGAGGTATTCGATCGGTGTGCGGGGCAGTATTCCAGCATTGTGCGGGGCGGTGTGCGGGGAGGTATTCGATCGGTGTGCGGGGAGGTATTCCAGCACTGTGCGGGGCGGTGTTCGGGGCGGTGTGCGGACGGTATTCCCGCACTGTGCGGGGCGGTGTGCGGGCTGTATTCGATCACAGTGCGGGGCGGTATTCCCGCACTGTGCGGGGCGGTGTTCGGGCTGTATTCGATCGGTGTGCGGGGCGGTATTCCAGCACTGTGCGGGGCGGTATTCGATCACAGTGCGGGGCGGTATTCCAGCACAGTGCGGGGCGGTGTTCGGGCTGTATTCGATCACAGTGCGGGGCGGTATTCCAGCACTGTGCGGGGCGGTGTTCGGGCTGTATTCGATCACAGTGCNGGAGCGGGGCCGCAGAACGAGCGGCGGGCGCTTCCCGAGGCCGCCGCGCTCCCCCTCAGGCCGGGCCCGCCGCCCCCGGCCCGGGCCGCGCTGCAGCAGCAGCGGCGGCGGCGGCGGCGCAGCGAGGCCGGCGGGCGGCCGGAGGATGCGGGCGGGGCGGGAGCGCTGCCGTTCCCGGGTCGGGCAGCTAGAGAGCAGTGCAGGGAGCGGCAGCCCGAGCCGTGAGCTCCCTTCCTGTGGGCAAGGCCGACAGCGGAGCCGAGCGCCGGCCGAGGCCCGGGCCGGCCGCCCCCGCTCCGCTCGCCCATGGCGGAGACCAAGATCATCTACCACATCGACGAGGAGGAGACGCCGTACCTGGTGAAGCTGCCCGTGCCGCCGGAGAAAGTCACGCTGGCCGATTTCAAAAATGTCCTCAGCAACCGGCCCGTGCACAGCTACAAGTTCTTCTTCAAGTCCATGGACCAGGATTTCGGGTGAGCGGCCGCGCTCCGGGCGCAGCCCCCGGCGCTCGGTGCCGTGCCCGGGGCCGGGCCGGGCTCGCGGCATCCCCGGGGCACCTGCCGGGCTCGGCCCCGCTCGGCACCGAACATGGCGGGCGCTCCGGGCCGGGCCGGGCCGGGCCCGCCGCGGGCTCGGGGCTGCCGCGATCGCTGCCCGCGGTGCCCCGGGACCCCTCCGTGTCCCCGGCTGGAGCCTTTCCCGGGCCCGCCCGCAGCTGTCGCCGTGTCCCCGGGCCCGGGCCCAGGCGGCGGGGACGGGCGGCCGCAGCTGTCACCGCGCCCGGCGAGGCCGCGGCAGCGCCCGGGCAGGGCGGGCGGGCCCCAGGGGCCGCGGGGCGAGCGCCGAGGGCTCGGGGAGAGGAGCGGGGGCAGAGCTCGGGAGCTCGAACGGGTGCGAAATGGTCGGTGGTTAAAGGAGGGATCAGTGGTTAAAGGGTGTGGAATGGTGCGTGGTCAGAGAGGTGGTTGATGATAAGTGGTCGGTGGTCAAATGAATGTCAAATGATCGGTGGTGAAATGAGTGAAATGGTCAGTTTTAAATGGGTGACAAATGATCGGTGGTGAAATGAGTGAAATGGTCAGTTTTAAATGGGTGACAAATGATCGGTGGTGAAATGAGTGAAATGGTCAGTTTTAAATGGGTGACAAATGATCGGTGGTGAAATGAGTGAAATGGTCAGTTTTAAATGGGTGACAAGTGGTCGGTGATCAAATGAATGTCAAATGGGGGACAAGGGGTCAGTGTTCAAACGGTGTGGAATGGTCTGTGGTCAAAAGGGTGATAAGTGGTCAGGGGTCAAACGGTGCCAAGGGCTGTGCTCAGACCACAGCTGTCAAATCCTCGAGGTCAGACAGGTGTCAGACGGGCTCTGGTCAAACGGGTGTGAACTGGTCAGTGACCAGATGGGTGTGAAATAGTGATCAGATACGTGTGAAATGGTCAGTGATCAAATGTGTGTCAGATGTTGGTGGTCAAACGGGTGTGGACTGGTCAGTGGTCACTGGTCAGACGGGTCCAGGAGCTGTGCTCGGGTAGTGACTCTCAAATCCATTGGGGTCAAACAGGTGTCAGATGGTCCAAGGTCAAACAGGAGTGAAATGGTCAGTGGTCAGGCAGGTGTCAGGGTGCTCAGGGTGTCACAGTCCCTGTTTGAATGGGTGGCAAAAAATTGGTGGTCAAACGGTTCCAGTGGCTGTGCTGGGCCAGCAGCTGTCAAACGCAGATGGTCAGTGGTCAAACAGGTGACAAATGGAAGTGGCCAAACGTCCAAGGGCACACACCGAGCTGGGACTTTGCAGTGACCTCTGTGGTGAGCAGAGCTGGCCGTGTTTGACATCGTTCTGCTCCCTGCACACCAGTGTGGCTTGCGTGCCACCGGGCTTAGCGACAGCCAGAATAAAACAAACCAATAAAAGTCCCTCTGACAGTTTGCCAGACAGTAACTTTCAAAATGTATTAATCCTTTTGTAGCAAATCACTTCTCTTTGTACTCGCATCTGTCGCTGGCAAGGCAATTTTGCACAGTTAAATGCCTTGCCAGGGGAAAAAAAACCAAAACAAAACAAAAAAAAAACAAAAGGGGGAGTAGGTTTGTGGGAAACTCGTGCGGACCTGACTCCAAAATAATGCCGTGGTTGAGGTGCAGGTTTTTTATTTGGTGAGATGGATCACCCCGAGCATCCTTGGACGTGTTGTGCAGCCTCTTTTTTATCGCTGAGACCCGAAGCCTTTCATGCCGATTGTGTTTTTATCCCTGGTGGAATGTGGATATTGTTTGTTGACACGTATTTCTGATGTGGTGAGTTGTTAGTGTTGGCTTGTAACCATAGGAGTGTTCGTGGATTGACTTCTTGTTTTTCTCAGTTGTGCAAACATCTTTTTTTTGAGGGGGGGGGAAACAACCGGACAAAATATTTGTTTTCAAAATAAATGTCTTTGAAATTGATTATTGGTAAATTTTCCTCCTTTACCCCCCGAGTGACGGGGACATGTTGTTGTCATAGAAATTGAAGTTGTGTTTGTGGTTTGATTTCACTGAAGGAGGTTGGGATTGTTCAGGCAGCATCTGCATCATTCCCACTGCCACAGAAATTTAGGATTAGGAAATATAAACTGTGCTGAGGCTTCTTGAACACATGGGGATGTTTTGGTCTTTGACCAGGAAAGAGATTTAGTAACAAACCCTAGGGTGGATTTTCTTATTAGTCTGAAAATTGGGGTGAAACTTTCCTGTTATTCCTGGAAATGGAGATGGTGGAAGATAAATGGCTGCAAGGATCAAGACCCGTCTTTATTAATTCTGTCTTTATTATTTAATCAGCAGCATTTGGGTGACAATCCAGTGCCTTGAGACAGCTCAGAGTGACTCTGCTGCACGTGGGACTCCTGAGCTGTCAGTCAGAGTTTGTTTGCATTTATTTTCCGTGTCTCGTTCCTTGTGTGTTTGTGCCTCTCTGAATCCAAAATATTTGGGGAAAACGAGAAGGAAATTCAGCTGCGTTTTGGCTGGCTTAGTGAGTGTTAATAGTAAACACGGGATTTGTTTTCATGATCTTGTCTGCAAACTGACTTTTTGTAGAATCGTGGAATATCCTGAGCTGGGAGGGATTATCCAGACACCCCAAAATCCCACCCTGGGCACCCCTGGGAGCGTTGTCCAAACCCTCGTGGAGCTCTTGGGGCTGTGCCCATTCCCTGGGGAGCCTGGTCACCCTCTGGGGGGGGGATGAACCTTTCCCAAAATCCAGCCTAAACCTCCCCTGGCACAGCTCCATCCTTTTAATTGTTGCAAACAGGCAATTCTAGCTGCTGTTGCCACAAACCAGAACACAACCGTGTCTCTCTAATTTCTCCCTTATGTGCCTGAAAATCTCCTCCAGAGCAGCTCTGCCCTGGATGTTCTGGAAGTGACACTTGGGCTGGAAGCTGCAGGGATTTTTTTGGGTGTCCCTGTGGTGTCCTGCTGTCCTTCCCAAGCTGAGATTTGGCTTGGTCACTTGGCAGGGCAGTGGCTAAATCCTTAATTTTTTTTTTTCGCTGTGAAATGTGAAAAGCACCCCTTGTGTTAGGAAAGCAAATGTTTTAATGTTTTCCTGGAGGATTGGAGCCTCGTTGGGAAGCCAGGGATCGGGAACTGAGTCCTTGCAATTCTGCACATGCTGTTGTAATTAAGGCCCGGCCTTTCCTGGATCCTGAAATAATGGAATAAATAACGTGCTCAGAAGCACTGGATGTGCTGAATGCTTTCCAAGTGTGGAAGATGCGGCGGCTGAGGGCTGGGATGGAGCTGGCTCGTGCTTGTGCCGTGCAATCCAAGCCCTGTTTGCTCCTTGGAAGGTGCAGGAGGAGGTGTGGGAGTGTCACATTCCCTTCTGAGCTTTGCTTGCACTTCATTTACTGCCCTGCCACTTTCCCCCGTGCCACTTCATTCCCTAACTCATGAGGGGATGGCCCTGCCTTTACTCTGCTTTCCTGCTGCCTCCATCTGTAGCCCAAATGCCGATTTTTTAAGATGCAGGATGTCCAACTGTGCCCTGGCATTAATACTCAAACCCTTGCAAGCGATTTTTGTAGCTTCTGTTTTTATTCTGGTTGGTGGGAACCCAAGCAGAGGCGTTACAGGCTCAGCCTCATTGATGTGACAGCATCCAGCAGCAGTGAAATTTAGGAGAGGTGATGTTCGAGGTCTGTTTTTACAAACGAGGAGCTGTGTCATCAGCTGATTTAATTCATTCCAGCCACTGATTCTTTGCTCGGGGCAAAGCTCAGAGGTCACTTCCCATCACTGACACTGTTGGTTCTCAGGTTACAGCCCCACACGTCCTTGCAGGAACACGGAATTCTGTTAATTTGAATCTGTGATGATTAAAAAAAATGCTAAATCTAAAAATAAAGCTGTAGCTTGTGATGCCTGGGCTCCCATGACTGAAATGCTGACAGCTGTGTGGGATCCAAATGATTCATAATGAATCTGTGTGACAGATCCTACAAGAGGAATTCCTATCTGGTTGCTTTTAAATATTTGGTATTTCCAGAGCTTTGCTTGTAAAACACGATCAGTAACTTCCAGAAGCACACAATGATGAATGTGGAGGATCCAGGCATTTGCATGTGTTTGATTTTCTGTACAATAATCTGATTTGAGACTTTGCCCTTCCAGCGTGGGATGTGCTGCTGTGGCAGGAGAGTTTCAGTGAACAACTGAACCATCCTAAAGATGTGATCTGTCCAAAATGGGATAAATATTCCTTCTGTGCATTGTTGTGGTTGTTCTGCTCCATTCCCTGTGTGATCCTAAAAAGGTGATCTGCCCAAAATGAAGTAAATATTCCTTCTGTGCATTGTTGTGGCTCCTCTGCTCCATTCCCCCTGTGATCCTAAAAAGGTGATCTGCCCAAAATGAGATAAATATTCGTCCTGTGCATTGTTGTGGTTCTTGTTCTCCATTCCCCTGTGATCCTAAAGATGTGATCTGTCCAAAATGGGATAAATATTCCTTCTGTGCATTGTTGTGGTTCTTCTCCAGTCCCTCTGTGATCCTAAAAAGGTGGTCTGTCCAAAATGATGTAAATATTCCTTCTGTGCATTGTTGTGGTTCTTGTTCTCCATTCCCCTGTGATCCTAAAGATGTGATCTGTCCAAAATGGAATAAATATTCCTTCTGTGCATTGTTGTGGTTCTTCTCCAGTCCCTCTGTGATCCTAAAAAGGTGATCTGTCCAAAATGGGATAAATATTCCTTCTGTTGTTCTTCTGCTCCATTCCCCCTGTGATCCTAAAAAGGTGATCTGCCCAAAATGATGTAAATATTCCTCCTGTGCATTGTTGTGGTTCTTGTTCTCCATTCCCCTGTGATCCTAAAGATGTGATCTGCCCAAAATGGGATAAATATTCCTTCTGTGCATTGTTGTGGTTCTTCTCCAGTCCCTCTGTGATCCTAAAAAAGTGATCTGTCCAAAATGGGATCAATATTC